GTCATTTCAACAACATTTAGAACAATTGAATGACATTTTAGCAGTCTTAAACAAGGCAAATTTTACATTGAGCTCTCCTAAATGTTCGTTATTTCAAACCACTATAAATTATTTGGGGCACACGATTAACAACAATGGCATTACTCCATTAATGAATACGATCAAGGCTCTTGTTGAATTACTAACGCCCAAATCTATCAAAGATATCGATGCATTTGTCGGAGCAGCAGGATTTTATCGGAAGTTCGTTCCACGATTCTCAGTAATCGTATCTCCACTAAATAAATTGACCAGAAACCGAAAACAAAAATTCTGTTGGCATCAAGAACAGCAGGAAGCATTTGTACAATTGAAGAAAGTTCTATCAACAGAGCCCTTATTATTATCATTTCCTGATTCAACATTTACGGTGGAAACTGACCGTTGTCCTTTATGTAATTTTCACCGCAAATCAGCGAAAAATGGACGAGTAGATAGATGGTCCATTGGATTAGGTGAATATGACATTCTTGAAATTAAATATAAACGAGGTAAATGTAATTGTGACGCTGATTTAATGTCAGGGTATCCTCCAATACCAACTAATACTGATGATACTATAATCACAAGAAATGTTAAGAATAAAATGGATGGCACTACATTTGACAACGATGCGGAACACACTGCTGAAGTCAATGTCCTCACACGATCAGCAGCTCGAGCACAAACGACAAAGGACGCTCAGCGCATTACCACCCCAACAGACACACATCCTAATCCAGGAACAAATAAAAAGTCTCGGCAGCTTCGTCCAAAAAATAAGACATTAACCTACCAGGTGTCAAACAATTTAGTATCCGCACAATCATCAACAATAAAACAACAATCGTCGAGCAATCCTGCTCCATCATCATCCCTTATGTTTGATTTTGATATTAATAAATCGAATGATGAACAACACCGCGATAAATCGATTCAACAAAAAATTAACCAGATAAAGCAGAATCCACAGACAACTTTATATGAAGTAGTTGATGATACGTTATATAAAATTGTATTAAGCAAGGGGGTAAAAGCACCACTTCTCCACTTCACTTCACTTCACTCACTTCAGTCTAAACCCACTTCACTTCAGTCTAAAAACCCACTTCACTTCAGTGCAAGCCTGCTTTCTTTCTAGTCAGGCTAGCGCAGCACCGCCAGTTTGTGATGTTGCTGAAATGCATAGAAAAGCATTTTGGCATAAACACGCGAAGAAGTAGAAAGGAAAAAAGTAGACTAGACGAGCAAAATGATGGACATTGGACAATGGCAAGAGCCAGTCAGCTCATAACAACAGAATTCCAACACTATGAAGATAGAGTGTCTTTAGCTGCTTATGCATTACTAATTCTTTTTTTCAAATTTTTTGCTAGATCTATTTACTGCGCCGCTCTCACGCGTCAGTTTTATTTATTACATGCATGAAAAGTGGATTGGCCATGACTAATCCTTAGCGCTTAAGCTTTGCCTGTTTCCACGATAAGCAAAAATACATCAGTTATCATCTCTCTAATTTATTTACTCGTCTCTATCTTCCACTTCACTAGTTCACTTCATGGACACTTCAAA